ACTCTAATGTCCACTCCCCCGCAGTCCCATCAGTCTCTGCACCAGTGGAGCTGACACTCTAATGTCCCCTCCCCCACAGTCACATCAGTCTCTGCACCAGAGGAGCTTACACTCTAATGTCCCCTCCCCCACAGTCACATCAGTCTCTGCACCAGAGGAGCTTACACTCTAATGTCCCCTCCCCCACAGTCACATCAGTCTCTGCACCAGAGGAGCTTACACTCTAATGTCCCCTCCCCACAGTCACATCAGTCTCTGCACAGTGGAGCTGACACTCTAATGTCCCCTCCCCCACAGTCCCATCAGTCTCTGCACCAGAGGAGCTTACACTCTAATGCCCCCCCCCCACAGTCCCATCAGTCTCTGCACCAGAGGAGCTTACACTCTAATGTCCCCCCCCCACAGTCACATCAGTCTCTGCACCAGAGGAGCTTACACTCTAATGTCCCCTCTCCCACAGTCACATCAGTGTCTGTACCAGAGGAGCTTACACTCTAATGTTCCCTCCCCCACAGTCCCATCAGTTTCTGCACCAGAGGAGCTTACACTCTAATGTCCCCTCCCCCCACAGTCACTCACTGTTATACATTTATATAGCTCCGTCATACTCCACAGCGCTGCGCATGCAACATTGCATCAGTTACATCAGTTCAGCACCATGGAATGGTACACACTACTGTCTTTGTGTCAGTCCTTGCCCCCCAGGAGCTTGCAATCTAATGTAGGCACCAGAGTATCTCACATCTGTTATTCCTCATATACCTCCCATCAGTATGATTGCTATAATATCAGCGAAAATACAAAATTAATGGCGTCATTTGTTTCTTGTGAACTTTTTTTCTGATTTTTTTTTCAGGTTGATATTGGAGAAGACTCTTATTGCCAACTTCAAGGTGTTCAATCCTCTGCCTTATGAAAACAAGGAGCCGCAGTTGACGTCTTACAAGCTGAATAAGAAAAAAGGCGATAAACTTGGGGATTGCTAAAATGGGTTGGAGACGTCACCGTGCATGACGGGCGACCCTTCTGTATCCAACTGTGTCCTGCAATCCTCATCTCTCCTCTCTGCACTTCTCTCCAATCCCTCCTCTCACCAAATGTCTCTTGTATTTCCAATATTGATCCCTGAATAAAATCTTTTGTTATCTGCACGTTGAGCTGGATTTACCATCAGACACAGCCAAGTAGGTTTCAGCCTATAGGCAGGGGCGTATCTGTCGCGAGGCAAACAAGGCATCTGCCTTGGGTGGCACTTTTCAGGGGGGCGGCACCACCTCCAGGCAGAAGGGACCAGTGCTGTCGCTGCAAAGGGCTGTGCTTGGCCAGGGGGGGGGGCATGCTCGGGCGGGTTTGTGTGTGTGCTCGGGGGGAGGCATGGGTGAGGAGACAGAGAACCTGCCAGCCATGGAGCCGGCTGGAGAGGGGGCCGGGCGGCACATAGAGGACCGCGCATTTCTCTCTATGTGCCGCCAGTCACCTCCCCTATCCATCTCCTGCATGCTCCCCTTTCTCCCTCCCTCCTCTCTCATCATTCTCTCTCCCCCCCCCTCCTTCCTTCCCCCTATCTCTTTTCCTCTCTCCTCTCTCTCCTCCCTCTCTCCTCTCCCCTCTCTCCTCCACCCCCTCTCTCTCTCTATTATCCTCTCCTCCCCCTCCCCCTCCTTCCCTCCCCCTCTCTCTCTCTCTCCCACTATCTCTCTCTCTATTCCATCTCCTCTCTATCTCCCCCCTCTCTTCTCTCTCCCCCTCTCTCTCTTATTAGTATCAGTGGAAGGAATAGTGCCCCATCATTGGTGTCAGTGGGAGGAATAGTGCCCCATCATTGGTGTCAGTGGGAGGAATAGTGCCCCATCATTGGTGTCAGTGGGAGGAATAGTGCCCCATCATTGGTGTCAGTGGGAGGAATAGTGTCCCATCATTGGTATCAGTGGGAGGAATAGTGTCCCATCATTGGTATCAGTGTGGGAGGAATAGTGCCCCATCATTGGTGTCAGTGGGAGGAATAGTGCCCCATCATTGGTGTCAGTGGGAGGAATAGTGCCCCATCATTGGTGTCAGTGGGAGGAATAGTGCCCCATCATTGGTGTCAGTGGGAGGAATAGTGCCCCATCATTGTTATTAAGTGGGAGGAATAGTGTCCCATCATTGGTGTCAGTGGGAGGAATAGTGCCCCATCATTGGTGTCAGTGGGAGGAATAGTGCCCCATCATTGGTATCAGTGGGAGGAATAGTGCCCCATCATTGGTATCAGTGGGAGGAATAGTGTCCTATCATTGGTGTCAGTGGGAGGAATAGTGCCCCATCATTGGTATCAGTGGGAGGAATAGTGTCCCCATTATTGGTGTCAGTGGGAGGAATAGTGCCCCATCATTGGTGTCAGTGGGAGGAATAGTGTCCCATCATTGGTATCAGTGGGAGGAATAGTGCCCCATCATTGGTGTCAGTGGGAGGAATAGTGCCCCATCATTGGTATCAGTGGGAGGAATAGTGCCCCATCATTGGTGTCAGTGGGAGGAATAGTGCCCCATCATTGGTGTCAGTGGGAGGAATAGTGTCCCATCATTGGTGTCAGTGGGAGGAATAGTGTCCCATCATTGGTGTCAGTGGGAGGAATAGTGTCCCATTATTGGTGTCAGTGGAGAGGAATAGTGTCCCATTATTGGTGTCAGTGGGAGGAATAGTGCCCCACATTGGTATCAGTGGGGGGAATAGTGCCCCACCATTGATGTCAGTGTAGGAGGAATAGTGCCCCATCATTGGTATCAGTGGGAGGAATAGTGCCCCATCATTGGTATCAGTGGGAGGAATAGTGCCCCATCATTGGTGTCAGTGGGAGGAATAGTGCCCCATCATTGGTGTCAGTGGGAGGAATAGTGGCCCCATCATTGGTGTCAGTGGGAGGAATAGTGCCCCATCATTGGTGTCAGTGGGAGGAATAGTGCCCCATCATTGGTGTCAGTGGGAGGAATAGTGCCCCATCATTGGTGTCAGTGGGAGGAATAGTGCCCCATCATTGGTGTCAGTGGGAGGAATAGTGCCCCATCATTGGTGTCAGTGGGGGGAATAGTGCCCCATCATTGGTATCAGTGGGAGGAATAGTGCCCCATCATTGGTATCAGTGGGAGGAATAGTGCCCCATCATTGGTGTCAGTGGGAGGAATAGTGCCTCATCATTGGTGTCAGTGGGAGGAATAGTGGCCTCATCATTGGTGTCAGTGGGAGGAATAGTGCCCCATCATTGGTGTCAGTGGGAGGAATAGTGCCCCATCATTGGTGTCAGTGGGAGGAATAGTGCCCCATCATTGGTGTCCGTGGGAGGAATAGTGCCCCATCATTGGTGTCAGTGGGAGGAATAGTGCCCCATCATTGGTGTCCGTGGAGGAATAGTGTCCCATCATTGGTGTCAGTGGGAGGAATAGTGTCCCATCATTGGTTCAGTGGGAGGAATTAGTGTCCCATCATTGGTGTCAGTGGGAGGAATAGTGTCCCATCACTGGTGTCAGTGGGAGGAATAGTGCCCCATCATTGGTGTCAGTGGGAGGAATAGTGCCCCATCATTGGTGTCAGTGGGAGGAATAGTGCCCCATCATTGGTGTCAGTGGGAGGAATAGTGCCCCATCATTGGTGTCAGTGGGAGGAATAGTGCCCCATCATTGGTGTCAGTGGGCGGAGCTCTAATAGGAAGGTGTGGGGCCTAAATAGGAAGGGGTGGGTTTACAGATGAAGGGGTGGATCTTAAACAGGAAGGGGTGGGACAAATTTAGATGCGGGGGGGTGTCCGATTTTAGTCTTGCCTAGGGCAACACAAAACCAAAATACACCACCACCTATAGGATCCCACATGGAAGAAAAATATATTTGAAATGCTACAATTTTAGCCGTATTCAAAATATATTTCAATATATACACTGTATATTGAAATGCGTTTTTATTACAAAATAAATGAAAAAATATTTTTTTTAAATACATTTCAAACATACTGTATGACTTTAAAAATACAAATCTACATTTTTGGAATGCATATTTTTAATATATGTAAAAATATATGTTAAAATGAACTTTTTTTTATATGTTAAAAAAAATCTGAAGGGTATATTTAAAAAATATATATTTTTAAAAATGTTTTTTTTTTAAATATATTCTTCAGATTTTTTTAGACATATGCATTCCAAAAATGTAGATTTGTATTTTTAAAGTCATACAGTATGTTTGAAATGTATTTAAAAAAAATATTTTTCATATATTTTGTAATAAAAAAACACATTTCAAAATACAGTGTATATACTATGTTTATACATAGTTGAACTGGATGGACTTTTGTCTTTTTTTCAGCCAGACTAACTATGTAACTATGTAAGACTAACTATATGTATATATATATATTATATATATATATATTTATTGAAAAATATTGAATATGGCCAAAATTGTAACAATTCAAATACCGTATTTTTCGCTCCATAAGACACACTCCCACCCCTACCCCCCAAAAGAGGGGAAAATGTCAGTGCGTCTTATGGAGCGAATATGGAGCGGCCAGTCCGGTATTTCTGCCACCGCGTCAGAATACCGGGCCGGCCACACAGCTCTTCTCTGCAGCAGAACCTTACCTGTTCCTTGGTTCAGCGCTGTACAGTCTTCCCGCGCCGGCATCTGTGACAGCCGGGTGCCCACTGCGCATGCGCGAGAAACGCTGCACTTTGTGAATGGTCCGGCGTCTTCTGGGACACGACAGGTCACCATTCACAAAGCGCAACGCTTCTCGCGCATGCTCACTGGGAACTCGGCTGTCATCCGGGTGCCCACACTAAAAGGGAGGACAACTCCGCGGAAGTGGGAACGGGTACCTGTCAAATTCAGGTACCCGCTCCCCCTCCCTCCCAAAGGTCCGCAGTCTCTGGTCATCCCCTCTACTGTGTCCGCAGTCTCTGGTCCATCTCCTGTACTATGTCTGCAGTCTCTGGTCATCCCCTGTATTGTGTCCGCAGTCTCTGGTCAGAGACTGCGGACACAGTACAGGAGACGACCAGAGACTGCAGACATAGTACAGGAGACGGTCAGAGACTGCAGACATAGTACAGGAGACGACCAGAGACTGCGGACATAGTACAGGAGACGGTCAGAGACTGCAGACATAGTACAGGAGACGGTCAGAGACTGCAGACATAGTACAGGAGACGACCAGAGACTGCAGACATGGTACAGGAGACGGTCAGAGACTGCAGACATGGTACAGGAGACGACCAGAGACTGCGGACATGGTACAGGAGACGACCAGAGACTGCGGACATGGTACAGGAGACGGTCAGAGACTGCGGACATGGTACAGGAGACGGTCAGAGACTGCGGACATGGTACAGGAGACGGTCAGAGACTGCGGACATGGTACAGGAGACGGTCAGAGACTGCGGACATGGTACAGGAGACGGTCAGAGACTGCGGACATGGTACAGGAGACGGTCAGAGACTGCGGACATGGTACAGGAGACGGTCAGAGACTGCGGACATGGTACAGGAGACGGTCAGAGACTGCGGACATGGTACAGGAGGCGGTCAGAGACTGCGGACATGGTACAGGAGACGGTCAGAGACTGCGGACATGGTACAGGAGACGGTCAGAGACTGCGGACATGGTACAGGAGACGGTCAGAGACTGCGGACATGGTACAGGAAACGGTCAGAGACTGCGGACATGGTACAGGAAACGGTCAGAGACTGCGGACATGGTACAGGAAACGGTCAGAGACTGCGGACATGGTACAGGAGACGGTCAGAGACTGCGGACATGGTACAGGAAACGGTCAGAGACTGCGGACATGGTACAGGAAACGGTCAGAGACTGCGGACATGGTACAGGAGATGACCAAATACTGCGGACATGGTACAGGAGATGACCAAATACTGCGGACATAGTACAGGAGATGACCAGAGAGACTGCGGACACTGTACAGGAGACGGTAAAAGACTGGGGACATGGTACAGGAGACGGTCAGAGACTGCGGACATGGTACAGGAGACGACCAGAGACTGCGGACATGGTACAGGAAACGGTCAGAGACTGCAGACATGGTACAGGAAACGGTCAGAGACTGCAGACATGGTACAAGAGACGGTCAGAGACTGCGGACTTAGTACAGGAGACGGTCAGAGACTGCGGACATGGTACAGGAGACGGTCAGAGACTGCGGACATGGTACAGGAGACATACAAAAATGTGAATAGGTAGGCGCTAATACAACCATGCACCAAAAAAATGAGAGCAAATCAACTCTCAACATCCACCAAAATGTGAATCCTATGCCACATTAATGGAATAGGGGTAGACATATTCTCTACAATATCTAACAAATAATATTTAGTAATATTCCTAAATGAAGTGTGATAAACACAATATATATAGTGGCCGTCCCATGAAGATGTAGTTCCGTAGACCAAACAGATGTGCGCTTTCCCCACGTGCAGACAAGAGGCGAATTTCTCACCAGAAACAACTGACCCCGATTAAGGTGGTCAGGTAACGCTCAGGTAAAATGAATATTGAAGACCAGCAATAGGCTCTCGTAGGTAAACCTCTCTGTCGCCAGGAAATCACAGATATTGCCCCCCCAGGGGCGGACTGACCATTTGGAAACTCGGGCAATGCCCGAGGGCCCGGGGTCAGTAGGGGGCCCCATGAGATGCCCCTGGTACCTTTTTCATAGGCTTTTTTGAGTTTCGAGGGTTCCCTTTCTATGTTTCTTGTGAATTTAAAACCATAAACATCGGTATTCATAGAACATAGGAAGTTCTCCAGTTCTTGCCTTTCTCCCTCCCAAATAATAAAGATATCATCGATGTACCTTCTGTATATTTTTAATTGGGGCATTTCCTTATGAAAGTTCTCCTCTTCCTCCCATTTAATACGGAAGATATTGGCGACACTCAGAGCATACCTTGCTCCCATTGCTACTCCCTTAATTTGATTGTGAAAATCTCCACTATGCCAGAAGTAACTGTTGGCCATGGCCATCTCTAAGGCCTCTTGCACAAATTCTTTCTGAGGCGATATTAACCAATGGCCGTTTGGCGGCTTCAAAAGTGTTGCTGCATTCCGGGTGCACGCCATTTGGCGTGCTCCCGCACATGCGCAGTTTGCGCTAATGCAGAGCGGCGCAGCAGCGCGATCTGTCACCGGCCGTGCACCTCGGACACGGCCGATGACAGATCCGAGTACCAGCTCCCGTTGCTGGTACCATGTGACCTGCTGTGACCAATCACAGCAGGTCACATGACAGTTGTATACAATGGATGGCTTCATTCATGATGCCATCCATTGTATACTAGTGCCTAGCTGTGAATGGTCACAGCTAATCACATGCACATGTCATGTGATTAGCTGTGACCAAATCACAGCTAAGCACAAAAAAAAAAAAGAAAAAAGCTGAATGAATCGATTTCATTCAGGTAAATGCTTGCTTATAGCAAAGTAATTCTTTGCTATAAGCAAATTTGTGTAAAAAAAAAAAAAAAAAAATACTGATCACTTCCCCAAAGTAGTACAATGTTACTATGGTAACATTGTACTACTTTGGTCCATAGTAAAAATATGAAAAAAAAAAATCTTAAAAAAAAATTAAAAAAAAAGTAATAAAAAATTAAAAATAATAAAAAAAATAAAACGAAATTAAAAAAAAATATATATATATTTTTTTTTTTCATTTTTTTTTTTTTTTTTTCCAAGAAATTTTTTATTGAGATATGAAAAAGGCATAACAAGTCATAAACAAAATACGGATCGCAGTCCGCGCAAGTCTTTAAGCATGTTCTCCCGTAACGCAGACGGGATCAGGACATATAAGCAAATCGTAGCTCAACCTGAAATACAGTCCTAAAAGGGGAAGGCAAGTATATACCCATAGCAATGATGTTAGCAGTATGTAATTTATAGAAATAACGGGGTACAATAGTCCTTGTGTAGGGAGATCTAAAGAAACAGGACAGTGAGGTATATAACAATAGTCGTGTCAACTCAAGGCATATATGTCTTAGGATTCCGTACATGAACATTATAGATTAGATTTGAGGAAGTATTGTTACACCCTGTGTGGTCTGTAAGTCTCTGTACCTTATGAAAAATATAGTAGTTAGAATATGGTAAAGAGGTGAAAGAGAGAGAAAGAAGAGATGGGAATGAGACGAGCAAGGGAATGGAGGTAAAAGTATGAGGAAAAATATCATAGTGGGGCGAGGAGGGGACGTAGGGGACGAATACAGGAAGAGAGAGATGAGAGAGATATTGAGAGGAGAGAGAGGGGGGGGAGAGAGGAAAAAAAAAAAAAAAAAAAAAAGAAAGAAGAGGGGGGGGGGGGGGGGGGGGGGGGGGGGGGAGGTGGGGGGGGGGGGGGGGGGGGGGGGGGGGGGGGGGGGGGGGGGGGGGGGGGGGGGGGGGGGGGGGGGGGGCCGGGGGGAGGGGGGGGGGGGGGGATGAAGGGGGGGGTGGGACGGGGGGGGGGGGGGGGGGGGTGGTAAGGATAGGTATTGGGGGGGGGGGGGGGATGTGGGGGGGGGGGGACTAAATAGGCACATACCAAAACCAGTCATATCAGTTAGCAGCTTCCAGGCTTTTTTTTTTTTTTTTTTTCATACTGTCACCAGTCAGTGTCCCGTGTTCACCGCCAATGCCAGTTAATATGATGACGCTGTACTGCACTGGTGACAGTATTGTAAAAAAAAAAATAGTGAAAATAATTTTTTTATTTTATTTTTTGGGGGATTTTTAATTTTCCGAAAAAATTATGACAAAAAAAAAATACAACTTCAATAAACTCGCCATTCCTCTTATGAAGTAACGTCGGATTGTCTACTCTTCAAAAAGGGGTCATTTGGGGGATATCTGTACTATTCTGACATTTGGGGGATATCTGTCCTGTCCTGACATTTAGGGGATATCTGTGCTGTCCTGACATTTGGGGGATATCTGTACTGTCCTGACATTTGGGGGATATCTGTCCTGACATTTGGGGGGATATCTGTACCCTGTCCTGAATAGATTACATTTGGGGGATATCTGTACCGTTCTGACATTTGGGGGATATCTGTACCGTCCTGACATTTGGGGGATATCTGTACCGTTCTGACATTTGGGGGATATCTGTAACCGTTCTGACATTTGGGGATATCTGTCCCCGTCCTGACATTTGGGGGATATCTGTCCCGTCCTGACATTGGGGGATATCTGTCCGTCTGACATTTGGGGGATATCTGTACTATTCTGACATTCTTGGGCCTTAAGAAATTAGATTGGCTGTCAGTACTTCAGGATTGATCGATTTTCAGATCTATAACCATAGTTTGTGAACTCTATAACTTTCCTACAAACTAAATAATACATCCTAATTTGGGTTATTTTCACCAAAGACATGCAGCAGAATACATCTCGGCCTAAATTTATGAAGAACAATTATTTATTTGCAAACTTTTATAACAGAAACAAAGAAAAATGTGTTTTTTTTTTGAAATCAAAATGTTTGGTCTTTTTTTTTGTTAATTTAGCAAAAAATAAAAAACCCCAGCGGTGATTAAATACCACCAAAAGAAAGCTCTAGTTGTGTGAAGAAAATGATAAAATTTTAGTTTGGGTACAATGTTTGTATGACCGCGCAATTGTCATTCAAAAGTGTGAGAGCGCTGAAACGTGAAAAATGGCCTGGGCAGGGAAGGGGGTAAATTGCCCGGTATTGAAATGGTTAAATTTGAGTATTTGTGGAGTGCCCATTTGGTTGCATCAAGTGCATCCAGTTCAAAGCCCCTGGTGTCGCGCTCCACTATCAGTACATTTTAATATACAATATAAATTTATAAATAATAATGAATTATATTAGATGAATTAATTAAATAAATTGCAACAGAATATATCAAGTGATTGAATCCCGATATATTTCCACGGCGTGATATAGCAATCACGCTAGTGCTGCATGCATACCTTTGAAAAGTCCATGATCCTATGGGTGTCTTCTATTGGTGTATTACAGTCCACCAATTCATATATAATGTGCTCCTTCACCGGTTATGTGCTCTCACCTGACCTATATGACCAAACGTTAAGTGAGGTCATACAAGCTTGTGTCCCTTTAATTTGGACTCAGAGGTGGACAAATGGATAAATTCCTGTATCCCAGATGGATGGATGGAGTTTTTTCTTTTCCCCAGCAGGGGGTCTTGCTGTTTCCTAGGGATCTTTTTCCTGGAGGCGGATGGATGGAGTTATCCTTCTTCCCACTAGGGGGTCTCTTGACTCCTTTCAAACTTTTTCCTCCATGTGTATATATACCATGCAGGGGCGGACCATGACCATTTGGAAACGCGGGCACTGCCCGAGGGCCCGGGGTCAGTAGGGGCCCCATGAGATGCCCCTGGTACCTTTTTCATAGGCTTTTTTGAGTTTGGGCAAGGACACAGGAGCCCCATGATCCCCTATTGCCCGGGGCCCCATGAGTTGTCAGTCCGCCCCTGTTGCCCCCAGTTGAGTATTCACATGACTCCAAGTGTACCAGTAATGAATGGATTTCGGAAATCCCCAGGCTCTCCTTATAACAAAGGTGATGCTCCAATAAATCAGATGAATGACATACGTCCTAAGTGTAGTATTTATTGAAAGTTTAAAAGCAACAACACACTCACATGTAGAGGTACCCTGAGAACCGGCACCAGTTTGTACAGCCTCTGTGTATCCAATAGTACGGCTGGTGTGCGTTCCAAGCCTCGCCTTCGATAGGCCAATGTGACCTCATGAGAACCTGGAAGTGATGGGATCACGCTTCTACGTATGTTTCGCCTGACGGCGTCCTCAGGAGTGACGTACCGCCATTACCAGGCTAGTTATGTAGAAGCCAAGCTCCGCTGATTAGACGGCTCCAGAAACTTGGCAACACCCCTTATGAGGATGTATTTACATATGAAAACGTGTCAAGGAGGAGCCTCTGTACGCCGCCGGACCTCCGCAATCCTCAACCAAACGTTTCCTGTAGTTGCAGATCAGACCTGC